GCTAATTCATAAATAATTATGATTTCTATACAGGGAAGTAATTGTCTCTATTACCACTGTGGTGGTTATTGGGAGAATCTCTTATCAATCATTTTTCGAAGGCGATCAAAACATGTCATAACTGAAGAAAATCTTTTGCTTCTTCAAGCCTGTAGCTCATAGAGGAGAAAGGAAACCTACTTGGGGCTTTCTGTATGCTAGAGTGATACTGTGTGCTTTGTATACTTCACCTCATTTTATCCTAATTTACATATGAGGCAAATGATGCTCACACCCAAAATCCAAAATGCTTTGAAAATTGAAAGACTTTTTGTAACTTGTTTGGCATTAAAACCTGAACTAAACTGATATGAGGCTACTTCTAGTCTTTGCTCATCTCACTTAGTATGAATATTCAAATGTTTTGTAGTAGAAATATTATCTTTGATTATTGGATATTCCCAGGCCATGTTGAGGATATCATGTAATACATGATATGTATATAGCATAACCTTCTAAAATCTAATACATTCAGAATTCTGAAACTCAAAGTTATGTAGCAGATAATGGGGGAGACCTGAGCTTTGATCTCAGGATTTTCTGGCTTTAAAATTGGTTTCCTTCATGCTGTATCATTCAACCTGATTTTGGAGGTCAGAAACTTACTGTATATTTATAGATACTGTTTTAGTTTTTGTTCTAAAATGTACCTAGTTTTTTATGTTTTGTTCAGGTATTGGTAAGACATGCAGGCATGGAAATGACTATCACGAAGGAAGAAGTTTATACTCACAGACCCCTAGAAACAAGAGGAGGAAGCACCCCAATGGTGCAGAGGCTAAAGGAACCAGGGGAAGTTTGGGCAAAATCTTGGGGATTTCATGGGAAGGAATAGGCGAGGCAGGGTAGGCAAGCTTGGGCAAGTTTAAGATTGAATGGTATGGATAATTTTGGCAGGCTCTGGGATGTAGGGGTGGTCTCTAATTGTCTAGTTCCTGGCCTTGTAGTGATTAGTACAGAGGACTGTTGCCTCTTGGAGTAGCCCAGACAGAGGAGGTGGTTCCAAGTATGGGCTCTGGATTGGTTGGTTTGCCTGTCAACGGTGTGCTTACATGCAAGTTGTTTGCAGTCTCTAGGAATTAGTCAGATTTGGGAGGGACAATCTCTCTAGGATTAGCAAGGTGTAAGATTAGTGAGCATTTTGTGAGTTGTATGTATTATATAACTATTTTAAAATTAAACCTACTGGAACTTATATAATGAGAATCAAAAATGTCTCCTGGGGATTATGCATTTATTTCAATGATGTCATCATTGTTCTTTTTTGTTGGGCTGGTGTTTTTTTTTTGTTTGTTTGTTTGTTTTGGAATTTTCTTCAGGGCTACAGTATATTCCTTAGAATGTCTTCAGTGGTCATATATTTTTAATTCCTTGAAGGAACTTTGATTTTTTGGAAACAGTCACATGAGCATTAAATGAAGGGAAAGATTGAGTTGATGTTATAGTAAAGAGTGAGATGTGATTGAAGGACAGTCAGCAATGAGACTTGATTTCCCAGATGGTCCTGAGATTGGCTCCAACCAAGCACAACTCCAAGAAAGAAATTCCTCACAGTAGTTCGAGAAACAGCCACATACCCAGAACAAGGACTTCCAGGAGCTTAACAGAAAGGACAGTGATAATTTTGATGTGTGGGTTCAGAATGCTTGTTTGAAAATTGACCTCTTTTGTGCCTGAAGAAGGGAAATATCCAAAGAAAATTAAAGTGGGATGGGAAAACACTAGATGAGATTGCAATTGAAGGTCACTTTGTAAAAGACTATAAGGAGGAAAATTAGGGAAGAATTATTAATATGTAAAAGAGTTGAACTTATTTTTCCCTCAAAATAAGAGTCACGAAGGACTGTTAGGTGGGTATCAAATGGAAGAATTTATAAGGGAGTCATGAGTCAAAGTGGCAACCCCGGGCATGCATGTATGTATTTTTATAGTATGGTATTTCTAGATTCTAAGTAAATATTTCTCAAATGATTCAGAATTTCTAGCAGATTAAGTCTACATGCTTTCTCTTTGTTGTCCCAAAATTTATATCCTAACTCCATCGTTGTTCAGATTGTAATAATATTCTAGGGTATATTAATCTTGTTCCTCTTGTTTGCTCTCATAGTGGTACAAAATTTGATTTGGGCCCTGTGCATTTTTTAAAAAAATTATTTGTTTAGAGTCAGTTTATTCCTGAAGGAACTGGACTGTCTTATCCTAAGGTAATGTCTGGTTCAAAGAAGGTTGATGTTGAATGAAGGAATGAATTTGGATTGGAAATCATCCACCATGACCCAATAGGCTTCATCCCCAGGATGTAGGACTGGTTCAACATCTGCAAGACCATAAGCATAATTAAATACATCAACAGATGTAAAAACAAAAGCCACATGATTATATCATTAGATGCGGAAAGAGTTTTTGATAAAATCCAGCACCTCTTCTTAATAAAAACCCTCGAACATCTAGGCGTAGATGGAACATACCTCAAAATAGTAAGTGCCATCTATGAGAAACCCATAGCCAATATACCGCTAAGCATATAGAAATCGCACTAGTTTACACTTCCACCAACTGTGTAGAGGTGTGCAACCTCTGTGGAAAGCAGTGTGGCTATTCCTAAAAGCTCTAAATACCAACCTCCCATATGACCCTGCAATCCCCCTATTGGGAATGTATCCTGAAGAACACAAATCACTCTATAAAAAAGATACCTGCACACGCATGTTTATCGCAGCATTGTTCACAATAGCAAGAACCTGGAAACAGCCATGCTGCCCATCAAAAGAGGACTGGATTAAAAAAATGTGGTACATATACATGATGGAATATTACGCAGCCATAAAAAAGAACAAAATCATGAATTTCACAGCAACCTAGATGGAACTAGAGTCTATAATACTGAGTGACCTCTCACAGAAACAAAGATCCGAATATCACATGTTCTCACTCATATAATGGACCTTAAACATCCAATGCAATGCTATACGAAAATGACTGATCGTACTGGGAAACTATGGTGGGGGGAGGGAGATGGGATTAACAGTAGCAAATATCTGTCTGGGAATGGGGAAACACCCTATATCAACAGGGTGCCTGAATGAAACGCAATTGTATACCTAACCCTTAACTGTACCCCACAACTTCATAATAAAACAAAACAAAAAAAAAACAAAGAAAACATATAGAAATTGGAACCATTTCCCCTGAAAACTGGTACAAGACAAGGATGCCTACTCTCACCCCTCCTGTTCACCATAGTATTGGAAGTCCTTGCTAGAGCACTCAGACAAGAGAAGGAAATCAGGGGTATCCAAATAGGAAAAGAGGAATTTAAGTTATCCCTCTTTGCAGACGACATGATTCTATACCTCGAAAACCCAAGAGAATCTGTCAAAAACCTCTTTGCACTGATAAAGGGCTTTGGCAAAGTCTCAGCATATAAAATAATGTACAAAAGGCAGTCTCATTCCTATATACCAACAGTAAACAGAAAACTCCAATAAAAAATACAATCCTGTTCGCAATAGCCACAAAAAAGAAAAAAAAAAAAGAAAGAAAGAAATACCTTGGCATCTTCCTAACCAGAGAATTCAAAGACCTTTACAACAAAAACTACAAAACACTGCTCACAGAAATCAAAGAAGGCACAAACAAATGAAAAAATATTCCCTGCTCATAGATTGGAAGACTCAACATTGTTAAGATGTCCACCCTACCCAAGGCAATATACAGATTTAACATAATACCATTAAATTACCAGCATCATTCTTCATAGATCTGGAAACAATACAGAAATGAATAGCTTTTTATTGGAAAGCATCTCTAAAACTGTATGATTCTTTGGGAGGCCTCAGGCTGGTTGGTGGTTCATTTGGTGTATAAGGTTTGGAGAACATGTACTATGTCTCTTTGTAGAGGAACGGTGGAGATAGCTCAGTGGTTTTTCTATAGGAATCATCCACGGGAAATTTTGAGTTCAGGTTCAGCCTCTGACCCTTACATACTTGTAGGTTGCCTCCTTTCCCACCATCCCCACTTCCCAGACTGTCAGCTAATCATAGATTATACAAACACATATTAGTTCAACAAAGAAGTAATTAGGAAGGCAAATCTTCTGGGGGAAAAATTACGTGGTGCATTTGCAAAGTCAAATATCATTTACTTTGAATTAGGCAAATACTGTTCTTCTTCATCAGTGCAGATTATGAGAGTCTATAGTTTTCTTTTTTTTAAATAAAGGATTTATATTGTGATTACATACACCTGACTGGTATTTGGCACTAAGACCCTAAATGAATAGGATACATCCTTATTAAAACAAACTGTTTACAAACACAGACCTTATTGGCAAAGTACTTTCTTATATTAAAGTTATGATATTGGTAGGTTGTTGCGTGTATAAAATTTTTTGTGGAAAAGTTTTTACCAGTTGGGATATTTTAAGACATATAGATAAAGCAAGTGACTAATTTTCTTTTTGTGGAATGTGATGAAGAGGGGTGTTCTTGAAAGGAACAAAATCGTGTTATTGTCATTGTAGTAATCAAATAATTTATATTTGCACTCATGGAGCTATTTTATTGCTCTCATCCTTGTTACTCATATGATCACTCTCCGTGTTCGCTGTCATTGATATACATAATTTTATAGCATGGTCTGCATCTTAAAACCACAAGAGCCCACTCTGAGAAACGTCACTGATGTCTTTGCACTTAGGCTTTGCAGCAGCCCTAACAGAATTTCCTCATATGTAAAAAATGAACAACACACTTTCTCCAAGTTAAGGCAAAATCACTGTTTAACACAGTTCCGTGTGATCTGTGTTTAGATGGAGCTGAACAGACTTTCATAAAAGGTCTTAAAGAGCCCTCTAGTAGTATGTGTTAAAATCATATAGGGCTGAAAACATGGCACTTAGTAACTATGCATGTCATGTGTATCCTCAAGCAAATAATGCATTGTTTTTCTGCTTTCAGTTCTCTTGCAGCTAGCAAGTGATGCTTTACCAAATGACATGACCTTGGCTCTCGCTTATCTCCTTGCCTTACCACAGGTAAGACTGCCCATACCAATGAACAAGAGTGTAAAAATGCATAAACTAAAAATCTGTACCTGGGATTTCCACCAGTAGAATTGCTTATTATATGTCATTTCTTTCTGAAAGTTCTCAGGTGCTGAAAGGACCCTGGTCAGTATCTAGAGAGTGAATTCTACAGTCTTAGCTTAAATGTCTATCTTTATATCCACTTATACGATAGAGTTTGCCTTTGCAGTGTCTTCTGAATTTTGATATTGTCACATTGAGTTAAGCTTGAGTTGATATGGTGGGAACTTTGTACCAAAAATCTGCATTAATGACTAGAAATGCAGTGGTTTATACTGATCTCATTAATTTCCTTTCTCTTATGTTCTCTCTTAGGTACTAGATGCTAACAAGTGCTTTGAAAAGCAGTCGCACTCTGCGTTATCTCTTCAGCTGGCAGCGTATTACTATAGCCTGCAGATTTATGCCCGATTGGCTCCATGTTTCAGGGACAAGTATCATCCACTTTACAGAGTAAGTCCTCATGATTTCCCCTTTATTAATGAGTGGAATTAAAACTTTTCTAAAATAACCAAAACCTGTCTTTACTTTTTGGAGGAACGTATCCCTTTTGTATCCAGATGCTTTCCAAAGGCAGATAGCCCTTGGCTTTTCTGTTTTAGATGACATTGGTTTTCAAGGTATCAGTAAGAAGTAAAGTTTCTAATACTTATTGTGAATACTGATTCTTCCCCCAAAGTTTTCTTTCATTTACTTTATTTTACTAAGTCCTTAGGATAGGCTAAAGTAGTAGGAGGGGCTAAGTGGAGAAAAGATTTTTTAAATGTACTTCCCAAAAAGGAAGATAACTCTGCCTTTTTTTTTTTTTTTTTTTGAGTTGGAGTCTCACTCTGTCGCCCAGACTGGAGTGCAGTGGCCGCTCCCGGCCACCACAGCCTTGACCTGCTGGGCTCTGGCGATCCTTCCTCAGCCTTCCAAGTAGCTGGAACTACAGGCTTGTGCTACCACACCCAGCTAACTTTTGATTTATTGTAGAGATGATGTCTTGCCAAGTTGCCCAGGCAGGTCAATTCTGTCTTATTTAGGAAAATGGGCAACATAATTATTTGACCAATGCTACACATTTTTTTTTTAGACCAGAGATATGAGAGTAGTAATTATACAGATGGAATGTTTACACATATTATTTCTACTTGCCACAAACCTCAGGCAACTTTAATGGCAAAAAGCATCTAAGCATGGACTCACATTACATGTGCCTTCATTTGTAGACACAAAAGTATTACAGATGCCACTGGAAAATCCCTCCAGGTTTACTTGTATACATCAGTTTTATTTATCAGCATTGGGAAATGATCTACTTTTTGTATTGGATCATTTTAGATAAGAAAAGTACTATTTTAAGAGTAGATAAGTAAACAGATTATGCTTTCAAATCCACTGTGTGTACAAAGCCAAGGTCCAAAGTTTATTGGGGCATGATTACTTTTTTCCATACAAAAACAGGAATAATTTCACGTGTATCAATGTTCTAGCAGCCTCAACCATCTAAAACATATCTAAGAACCTAGAAGTGTGTGGAAGCATTTCATTTATAGCATAGATATGGCTGTTTATTTAAAATAAGAAGGAGTATGGGAGAACCATCCACATCTGGTGAATCCCTCAGGCACCATCGTTATTAGGTGTGTTTTGTACTAGTGATAGTTTTCTTATCATGACCACATTTAGCCAAGAAACAGAAATGCTTTCTTCTTTTAACAAGTTGATATTAGTTTATTTTGTTTATTATTATTATTAGTATTATTAGTTTATTTTAGTTGGTATTAGTTTATTTTGGGAATCTTGGAGTTTTTTGTTTGTTTTTATAGCTACTGCTGCTTTGTATGGTTACTTATTTACAAAAATTGCTACACTCTAGTAATTTGGTTTTGCTTTTATAGCTCAGGTATGCTTTTATGTGAAGTAAGGAGCATGTACTGGTCTGTGTTATAAGTTGAGGGAATGAAGTGATTATATAGGTAGAAATGTGATGAGTTTATTTTACCCTTGTCTTCATTGGTGCTGTAAATGTACACAAGTACTAAACCGTTTTCTCTAAAACTCTTTTAAGTGTGTTGAAACACAGTAAAGCTTTATCTTGGCCACATTCATAATGCCTTGTTCTAAATTTGATTTTTTTGCCCAAAAAGTCAACTGAGCTCTCAAAATGTATTTGACCAGAGTCTCTAAGTGGATGGTATTGAAATGGGATGCCAGTGCTGAAATGAGAACTCCCATTGGAATTCCGGTTTATATCATCTGTGTTAAGGTCCTACCGTGTACTGGTCTTATGCTGTATGTTTCCTAAATGCATAGAATTGAAAGGCCACTTCATCTGTTGGCTCATCTGTCACCATACATCCTGCATACGTGCCACACCCTTCTACTGAGCACTGGGATGGGAAGGTGAATATGCATGGTACCTGACCTCAGCTACCTCGCCACTGGCTCTAAATCCCTGTGAGACAGTTACATAAATGTGGGTTAGAGTGACTGCCAAGAAGAGCACTGATGGCTAATGTGGGGCAGATGATAAATACGGCTTTTAACAAAGCCAAGAAGCTGACTGCGCAGCCACATTTTGGCCTGTAATATCCAGTTTCATTTCCTTAATTAAAGTAGTCCTCTGGGAGGAAAATTCTAGTAAATTTTTATTTGTCCTTTTTTCCCTCATAGCAAATTACTTTGTACTGACATTCAAAGAAAAGTCTCACAGTATATACAACTTGTGACAGGGGTCAGTTAGGAAAAAAACAATTAAATTCCATCCCAACTTTTATATCTGGCCATCACTCTTTCCTTCCTCAGATACTGGAGTCAGTCTATAAGAAACCTCATGTAAGAGTTCCACAACAAAAGTCTACAGAGAAATAAAACGGAACACTGAAAGATAAGGGTTGGGGGTGTAGGCGTGTCCATCTTGGTTTCTTCCACATTCTCCACAGTTCTTTCCCCTTGGTAGAGTATGAATATTTTATTTCCAGATATTATATTCAATACTGTTTCATCCATTCAGCATCAGGGTACCTACTCCGAAGAGCATGGAGCTTAGCATTGTAGTATAGAGAATAATAAGTCTGGATTTTTACCTCTTATGCCAGTTTCTGATTCTTCCTTCCAGCTTCTGTCAGCCAACCATCTCTGTGCACTTGAACTCTTCATTTTGTTCTTGTCACTATTTTCCTGTCAAACTGTTCTTTCCTTTGAAGATATCCCCTGGAGCTCTCCTGCCTCGCCCTAGCTCTTGGCCTCTGATTCCTGGCTGTCACATTACCCACCCACTCTATGGCATGGTTCCTGTCACCTGCTACCAGTTCCCTTCTAGGCCCAACTACATAAGGCCACTGCTGTTCCGGGTCCTTGCTCCAGGAAGCAGCACTATATCCTTCTGGAATAGGAGCCAGTAAAGTCCATGGGGCTTGGTGGTGGTGGCCCAATGTGTGGTCTGTAACTTCTGAATGGCTTCAGAAAGAAGCAGACCTGCTCTCTGAAAGCGTGAGATGCATGCAGCAGGTCACAAGCCAGCTGGTTCTCAAGGGGCTTCTTGGCAACTCGGTAGAAAGCATTTGGTTTGAGAGGAAAATGAGGAGTTAAAAAGAGCACAGGAATTTTTTCACATCAGATGCAGAGACATTCTGAAACTCTTCCAAATAGACAGATGTCTTAAGAGGGAATAGGGAGCATTACCACCTCTCCATTTGTTTTCCTGTCTTCACCTCATGTCCTCACCTTAATTCTGTCTTCCAGAGTTCTTTACCTAAACACCAGGGACAGCCTCTTAACTGTCACCTCGTCTCCATTTTTGTTATTTTTATATTTCTTCCCAACTGCTGCTAGATCAGTCTTTCTAATATGGAGGCCTGGCGTTATCTTCATCCCTGCCTGGAATCCTTCAGTGATCTCCCATCGCTCCAGCAAGGGCTGCACATGCCCCTGGTCTAGTCTCTGTGTCTCCAACTTCACCTTGCATTGCTCCAGCTACACTAAACAACTCATAATTTCTCAAACACCCTGTGCATTCTGTTTTTTTGTCTTTAAGCATGTTTTATTCTCTGCCTATAAGGTTCCCCCCACCATTTCTTTGCTTGGATACCTGGATCAGGTGTTTCCTCACCTAGGAAGCCTTCTGTGGTTCTCCCAAGCTGGGTTGAGCTCACCCCATGTGTTTGTACTACCCTATGCTCACCTCTGTCATAGCCCTTGCACTCTATCATGAGTTTATCTACTTTTCACTTCACTAGATAATGAGCTGTTTGAGGGACGTATCTGTGTTGTATTTATTAGATTTCCCAGTGCTTAGAGCAGGATCTAGAGTATAAAGGGTAGTAAACAAATGTGAGTGACTGAGAATTTATGAATAACTCTTCAGTACATCTGAGATCATTGAATTGTGTATGTGTACACGTGTGTGTGTTCATCAAATATTTATCATGTGACCCCTTTATGCCAGGCAGTTTTTTAGAGGAAACAATAGTGAACAAAGAATATAAAACTCTCATCCTCTTACCCTTGTAGAACTTACATTTTATTGGGAACATAGGCACCATAAACAAAACAAGTAAATAAAATATATACTATGCTAGATAACAGTAAAAACTATTAAAGAAAAGCAAAAAAGAATGGGAATTGTGTGTGCACATGTGCAAGCTTGCACGTGTGTGTGTGTGTGTGTGTGTGTGTGTGTGTAGAATTCTACTTACTACTTAAATAGCATCAGGAAAGGCTTCCGTTGAGAAGGTGACCTTTGAGTAAAGAGGAAAGGACCCAACAGTACTGTGCAGCTACCTGAGGAAGTCATTCCAGACTGAACAGCAGTAACAAAGGTGTGGAAGTATCACTGTGACTGACATATACACAGTGGTATTTTTTCATAAGGTATTTGAGATCATGTTAACATTTTACTATGTAAAATCCACGGCACAGAAGAGTTGCCTAACTCCAGAGGAAAAGACAGAAATGCAGTCAGTGACCACACTTCACTGTGACTGGTGGCTCCTCTGCAGACCTTGGCCTCCTTCTTCCGTCTTTCTCTGCTCTTTGTGTATACACCCATGAAAACAGTTCTTTTAGTGCATTACAGGCTCCTGACTGGCTAAGAAAGTCAGGAAGAGGTATGACAACAACAGTCATCTTGCTTATGGGAGCTGTCAGACTAGCCCTAAAAAGGCACTTGGCTATTGTGATATTGTGAAATATATACTTAGTCTTTGTCCTGCTTCCTAGCATACAGCTCCTAAAATCCTTAGAATCTTTAATGTGATGTTGTTTTGTATGCTAATGTTTGACTGATGGCCAGCAGCACATAGGTAGCTTCAGCATGGGGCTGGTCACCAGAAAGGCCAAGGCATGATTAGAGAGTTGGTACTTTCAGCCCTTCTCCCCAACTCTCTTCAGGGAGGGGGGAGAGACTGATGGTCAAATTGTTCACCAATGGCCAGTGACTTAATCAATTATGCCTATGTAATGGAACC